TAAATTATATATGTTTTATATATATATATATATATATATATATATATATATATGTTTACATTTATTAACATTAACATAATTTAGCTATAAATTATATTTGTTTAGATATAGTGTCATACTGCATTATTATATGTAAATGTATAAACAAGGATATATAGTGTCAAATAGTGTATATACAGTCACATAATATGCATAATGTACTGTATATGAAAGATATAACAGTTTTCCTTTTGTCAAAGATGAAACAAGAGCTCTGTTGCTGCCAGAAAAGCATTAATACGTCTATTTGTTCCTGTCCTTTGGAAGTCCCTGAGCGTGACAAGCAGCTTTGGGTTGAAGTTAGCAAACTGACCTGAGAAGTGATGGAGGTTGAGACAGCGCGAAGATGCCACTTATTTCTTCACCAACTCTTCTTGCCTTGTCAATCCAGGATGAGTTAACGTTTGAGGCTTCAGAGTGTGTATGATTCCCTGAGTGCGGAGTTGCCCTCCTTTGTTGTCAGCTGTATTCAGAGAATGGACAGATGGCCTTGTGCCTGTACCTCAGGTCGTCTGAGACTAGCTTTACTGTTTTTTCCCCCCTCTGGCTTAGCCTCTGATAAGCCTTTAGCCCAGGCTACGTAAGCCCGGAGGCTCTCTCAGTTCTTAATACTCACGTACTCGATGCCGCAATGCCTTCATTCTGGGAACGGATGCATTAGGGAATCCCGAGTAGAACAGAAGGCAACAGGTTTTCCATACTTTGGTGAAACTGCAAGATGGACAGCTGACAGTCTGGCAAAATATTCACAAAAAAGTAAGACAGAATTGTCTAACTGTGAGACTCATCTTGAAATACATGGTCCATTTTGGCAGGGAAGACCTAGGTAAGACACATGCATCCATGGATAATGACATTTTGAAGGACACATAAGAAGAAGAAAATGCCATATGTTTTGCTGGCACCCCCAATCAACATAAGCAGCTCCAAACTGACTGTGTCACATCATTATGGACAGAAAGACACAATGTCTCTGTGGCCAGTTTCCCCTCCCCCACACTGAGTATCTACTCCTGCTAATGAGGCCAAAGTCCTGTGAAAACAATGTGGCCCTTTAACAGAAAAAGATGCACTCTGCTCGGCAGCAGAATTTCAAAGTGAATGAATTAGTGGAGCAGAAGTGGCATATTTAATCACTGCCTGCTGTCTGGGATGGAAATGAACAATGTCTCTGTGGATCTCCCTTCCCTCCCTGCATATGTGTTAATAAATAGTGTAAAATCAAGTTCTAAGAGTCTGTTACATGCCAAACATGTTGGTATAAACTAAAACCAAAACTATCACAAAGTTCAAATTAAAATATAAATACAAGATGAAAAACTAAACAAAAATTAGAAATGTTGCCCTAAACTTAAAAAAAAAAGTTTAAGTACTGAAATACAAAAATGAGTACTACTAAACTAAAAATAAATTACAATTATTTAAAAAATAAATAAAAAAAATAAATGACAAAAGCACACAAATAAAAAAAAAGCAAAAATTACAACAAAAAAAAAAAAACTAAAATATACAAATAAGCTACTTTAAAATATTAATAGAACTACATAAAAATACATAAATAGTACTAAAATTCTAAAACAGTCACAGTGATTATTACTGTTTCCACAATGGTTATGCACTCTATCTATCCATATTTATAAATCCCAAAATTGCTAATAGAACTGCTGTTATAATGCAACATAAAGTGATTTGAGTGTTACTGTTTATCTATTTTCATACTATAAAACCCCCATGTGACATGCCTTTATGTCTCACTAATATATTTTTATATTATAATATATCTGTTCTTAGTTGCCAACACTCACAGATATAACACCCCAAATTCTGTAGAGGAACTGTAGGAAAAATATTTGATGATAATAGCTTTGAAAATGTAATAAAAATAAAAGTCATATGTAGTACACTACTGTTCAACAGTTTGGGGTCAGTACGATTTAAAACAAAAAAAAAAAGAAAGAAGAAGAAGTCTCTTTATGTTCACCAAGGTTGCATTTGATCAAAAAATACAGTAAAACTGAAATATTGTGAAATATTATTACAATTTAAAAACTTGTCTATTTTAATATATTTCAGAATGTAATTTATACTTTTTTATATAGTTGTTTTTAATTTATACTTTTATATTTGATAAAAAGGGTAACTTCCCTGTGTATGTGAGTCCACCAGACATGGGGCTTTTAATGAAACTCCACTATTTTTGTCCTGCAGAAAGATCAACAGTCACACTGCTGTTAGACTTTGGTCTCGGTTCTATCAATAATTGGACATGGTAAAACACATACATTCGCGAAAGAGGGAGCTCTTGTCTTGTGTCTGACTTTACAGATATGGAGACTCAAGTCTTTGAAGGAGTTCCCGGACTTACGCACTTTTGAGAGTTTTAAGAGTTTCTGGCGCTATTATGGTTACGGCGTTGATCAACAAGAACTGATAGATCGGGAATTTAAACGGATTAAAGGTAACAAAAAAAAAAGAAAGAAAAAAGATGGTCCTTAACCTCCTTCACCTTCAGTGACTTGTCAAAATCTGCATGTGGTGGTGCTGCTACTACTCTCCTTCCTTTAACAACATACGAATATTTGTTTGTTTAGCAAATAGCCGATTATGTAGTAGACACATAAAAACTGCCCTCTAACTTCTCCAACTGTTGAAATTGTGGGTCTGTAGCGCAAAGTGTTTACTTTCTCTTTAGTCGTTGTCATGTGGTTAGAAAGATGGCAGCGCCCTCTGTTGATCCTAATGTGAATTACATCTAGAGGCTGAGGAGACGTTCACAGATTCCTCGTTCTCTATTTAAGGTGTTACATACCTTGATCATGCAGGGACAACGCTATTTCCTGAATCTCAGATTAAAGGATCTTATGATGATATATCTAGGAATGTTTATGGTGAGTTCCTTCATATGCATGGTTGAATGCACAACTTAATAATATCAAAATCGTAATTTGCTCTAAATGGTAACATACTTTTCTTTGTCAGGCAATCCTCACAGTCATAATCCCAGCAGTAGACTGACACATGACACTGTGGAAAGTGTCAGATACAGGTAAGGACTTTAGCACCATCTGACCTGTCAGTGAGTCATAGCATAGAAATATGTATTATCGTTTAAATGTATTATTAGATATAATAATGCATATACAGTATAAGTAGATACAAGAGCAATACAATACAAATAGGAAACGAACTTGGGAATCAAAGATAGTGTTTTAGAAATATTTTATTTATTACACACACACTATATATATATATATATATACACACACACACACACACACACACAGTTAGTTGTTTTGACAACTAACTGAAATAAGTTGAAGTACTAAAATGACTAAAACTAAAATTAATAAAGCTAAATAGAAATATTAAATTAATGAATAATGTGAATTTATAAAATATACAAATAAAATATATAAAAAACTAAAGATGACAAGCAAAACTGCTAAAAACTGAAACTATAATTGAAATGAAAACTAAAAATATAAAAATAAAAGCTTATTCAAAATATGAATAAATGCTGTAATAGTACATAAATAACACTGCAAGAAGAAAGCAAAACATAAACGGGGGAAGGAACAAAAAGTTCCCTTTCATGGGAACTTCGAACTGCGTCCTCTAGGGGTCGCTATGGGGAACGCCTCGTCGTGACCCGTGTCTGAAGCATACATTGAAAAAACACCAACTCGTTGGCCGGCGACAGCCATGACGTCACTACCGGTGCGACTATAGTATAAATAGGCGCCGGGAGCATACATCATTCTCTTCTTCGTCTTCATTGACTGTTTTACCCCTAGAGGACGCAGTGTCTCGTTCCCTACTCAGGGAACCATGGTTACATAAGTAACCTGAGACGATTTGAAACATACAAGAAAACTAGCCTGAATTGAGGCTTTAGCTTTAGTAATGTTTTAAGTAGTATTATAAGTAGTTTAATAATGTTTTGTTCAAGATCTGATATGATAAGATTTGTTATGATATATAGATGAAGAGCCAAGATAAAATAATGATCTTTAAAATAGCATCATATGACCCCTTTAAGATAAGGTAGCTCTTTGTTTTGAACCCCTGCAGGATACTGGAATATTTTAATACATGTCCTGAAGAGTACTCAGTGATTTTCACATCAGGATGTACCGCAGCACTGAAATTAGTGGCTGACACTTTCCCCTGGAAGGCCGTGTCAAATGAGGGGCCAGGAAGTCAGTTCTGCTACCTCACTGACAACCACACCTCTGTGGTGGGCATTCGCGGTGTGACCGCACTACAGGGAGTTGGCACAGTTTCTGTTCTGCCTCACGAAGTGGAAACAAGAGCGAGAAAACCCCTGACACAGACAAATGGAGAGGAGGAGTGCTTTGCACCTAATCTTTTCTGTTATCCTGCCCAGAGTAACTTCTCAGGCAGAAAGTATCCTCTGAGCTATGTGAAGGGAATTCAGTCTCAGCAGCTCTATCCAGCATGTGAGCACCGCGGTCGATGGTTTGTTCTCCTCGACGCTGCCTGTTTTGTAAGCTGCTCGCCTCTGGATCTAAGCCAATATCCCGCTGATTTTGTGCCAATATCTTTCTACAAAATGTTCGGCTTCCCGACTGGACTCGGAGCCTTGCTGGTGAGGAATGAGGCTGCTGAGGTCTTGAGAAAAACCTACTTTGGAGGAGGGACAGCAGCGGCTTATCTTGTGGCAGAGAACTATTTTGTACCAAAGCCAAATGTAGTCAGCAGGTATGACATTACAGGAAGAATTTGACCTTTAATTGTTGGCAAGCAGGCTACCTGTCATAATTTGTTTAACGTGTAATTACTTTATCAGGTTTGAGGATGGCACAATGTCCTTCCTTGACATCATTTCTCTCCATCATGTTTTTGAAACACTTCAGAAACGTACAGGTTCAGAAGTGTTTGGTTTACGTCTTGAACATGATTATGATTCACATTGTTATGACTTGCATTAAAAGTGGATGATTTTGATTTTCAGGCGGTATGCTGAACATTCAGCTTCACACATTTGGTCTAGCTCGCTACACCTACATTGTCCTCTCGTGCCTGCGCCATAGCAATGGAAAACCTGTGGCTCAGATCCACTGTGATAATGACTTTCAGAATATTGCTGAACAGGGTGCAATCCTCAACTTCAGCCTAATGGACTGTCATGGACGAACAGTAGGATATTCTCAGGTCAGTCAGGAACTGCCATGTTGTCCTCAAATTCATTTTACAGTTTTTCTCAGTCGCTTTGGTGCATTTCTCAAG